TTATGTTATTATAAAATCCTGTGTGTTTTAAATGTAACACTATACAGAAAAATTTATCGATAAAGTCTGGTAACCGAAGAAGGATCCTACGTCTACTTTCCTTGCCTCCATCTAAAACATACCAGTCTCCTCATCTCATCAGAATTGTCAAAGGTAAGTTTTTTTCATCATCAATGATTGATACTATCATTTTGGTGTCTTCAGTGAAGCATTAAAGAGTGAAATATTAAGGAGTGAAATATTAAGAAGTAACAACTGACTTGCTACATGCAGGTTTGAGCGTTGGACTGCCGTAGTGTGTTCTGAATTAATAAGTAACAAAGTATACCTTTACAGCTTTTAACATGATCCTAAGGCACTAAACAATTGATTTACAAAATAAACTTAACTTCAAATAGGGACAAAAAAGTAAAAACTCATGAAAATGGCTAAATATTGAGCTAATGTCCATGTCTGCTATCACTAAGCAGATGTAAACAATCGCCCATCGACTAGTCTTCCTTAAAAATAGGGTTTATCCCGTCGGTTCTTATTTATCTAATGAAGGTTTTAACTATTTAAACGTACGAGGAATCCATTTCTGATTTCCATTCGGATCAAAAAATTATCGATTGACTCGATATTTGCATTTGAAAAGCGGCTGCCGTTTCCTTACGGGAAAATACATTGTAAGTGATGAAGAAACCAGGTCTGTCGAACCATTTCACGTCACAAGTACGGCGGACCCGTTACCGCGTGAAAACGACCGTTTTGAATGGGTCGGTTCCAAAAACAGCTTTTTTGGAGTTTGAGAGGTCATTTCAATGTTTCTTAGAAGTGCGATCGTTCTTTCTGTGAAATGTGCCATAAGAATCAGGCATCAATTTGCAAAACCCCGCACCTTGCAACAGGCCCATTACGAGCATTAAGTTTGTGATTAAAAATTTAGTGATTGTCTCCGGAACTCACAATGACTCACTTTTAACAAACAGCAATTCTATCATCTTGGTATTGTGTTTTACAGTGTTCGTGTGATTCCTCTCCTTTTCCTTCACTCGTGGGGCGTCTAACAATGCTGTGCCACATTCCTCCTACCAAGAAAATTATGATGCCACTATGAACACCTTTTGCTATACTCCTATTCCCAACCCTCTATACGGAGCAAAAATGGTTCAGCTCCACACCGGGTCTGCCAATTGAGATTTTGTATGGGTAATATCGTACAAAAATCATTCTTAACAGGTTAGAAAAGTCTATAATACGATTTCGAATGAAAAATTTTCGTAGAACGTATTGTGAGCACTATTTTCTTCACTGGTGTCAATTAGATTTGCCTACAGAGCGACAGAATAATACAATGACTGCCTTTGCAACATTAAAAATACGTCCAACACATTCTTTTGCTTTACCTGATGAATATCCCCACTATGATAGTTACCTGCTCTTTTATAAGGCTCATCAATACACAGATGGGCAGAATGCTAATGACATGATAGACTTCTGGACACAGATGAAATCAAGCACTGGTTGGATGCCAAAAATACTAATGACTGCATGCCTTTCATTTGATTTGTGTTCATGAGATTTTTTTTGATCTTGTCCAGGAGATGCTCCCCAAACTTCTTGTTGTGTGCATAGTTAATGATTTTAAAAAGAAAGCATCCAACTTCTTCTCACATTAAGACCCTGTCGAACGGCCCATTTAATTGCCTACTTTGAGTACCTTCTAAAAATGACAACAAGTGGGACCTGGTTCTGGTTCTATCTGAAAATTCAAAGGTGGGTCAGAGGTAGGAAGAACAAATAATTCTTACCAGGGTAACCTGCCGTAGGGTTGTGTGGACCGGCTGGAACATATCCAGCTGTTGGTGGACCCTGAGGAGTTCCAGGATACGCAGGTACTACTGTAACAAACACAATAAAAATGGATAATTCACAGGGAATAGATACACCAGGAAAGAGGACTTGTTACTTCATGAGTGCTAAATTAAATGCATACCAAATCATTTCTAAAACTACAACGTAATGAATACAAAAATAGCACACAGAAACGGAGCAATCCAGTCACTTGACTGGGTTTGAAATTTATCTTGAACCAAGTATAAGAGAGTGATGGCTCGAACTCAAAAACATATATTAACATACGGTTCGTTTTCAAAAATTTGAATTTTCTGCAGATCTTCCGCAATTATTTTTTTATGAAAGAGCCAAGGAAGGGCACTAGACAGAAGAATTGCAAACCGCGAAATCGTGAGAGGGGCCAATTTTTTTTTCGACATTTTCTATTTGTTATAAGGGTAAAATAGCAGCAGAAGCCAAAGTGTGACCACCGAAACCCACCACCCTGTGGTCAAATAAAGTTAAATTTTACGTTTATTAGTCCTTGACATGTAAATTCGTGTTTTCAAAGGATTGAAACTCTTCTTAAAAGAATTACACCCCCTTATGCGGTGTTGCCGAGTTACGTGCCCGAAAATGACGGGGCAATGGAGATTTTGGTTTGCAATGATCAACTAAAATCAAGTAAAAACCTATTATTTTACACCATGTGAAGAATTGTAAATTTAATTTGAGGAAAGCAAGCGAGGTTGCCATACTTTAGTTTTTGCCAATTGCAAAATTTTGTTAGAAAATGTCAATTTTATATTTGATTGAAACAAGTCTATGCTTACTTTTCAGCGACATTATCAAATTAGGGATTTAATTTCTTTTAAAGGATATTCAAAATTCATCAAAGAAAAAAGTGCGTTTCATCCTGTACGCTGGTTTGCTAAAAACTGTTAAGCAGCGACAAAAATGCTCTCTGCGCAGGAGATGAATCTTGGGCTGTCTGCGTTTGATAGGGGTGTGCTCTTTTTACGTGCTGGATAAAATAGGAGTGCTATGCAAAATTTAAGAGAAAGATTGTCTAAATTATACTTTTTGCTTCCAAAGCAAATTCTGAGGACCTCAAGAAATTGCTTGTTCAGTTATTGCACGGGATTAAACAAGATCTGTTTCGGCCATGAACCTCCAAAGTTCATTTCTCACACTAGAATATTTTTTCTGTAACTTTCAATTTATGGAGATCTGGAACAATCAGATAAAAAACACTTCTATCATCTGAGAATCTTCAAGTTTCTTCTCTTCAATTTGACTTGAAGAGATCAGGGCCTTAATTCCTAGCGAATATCAGAATAATCTCTAAACGTTTGTCTTTACTTCTTACTCGTGAATTAAAATCCAATATTCTTTAATTTCCTTGGGATATTAGGGGGGAAAGAATTCAAAGTTTACTCTTAAAGTCAGCACCACCAGTCAGCGATCCACCTCAAGAATTTTTTACGAATCAAATCCCCTCTACAATTTATGTGGAATTATTTTTGTAGATCAGCTGCGTTCCCTGAATTGAAGTTGAGTGACTTTGACATAATGCCCCATTGTATGTAAAAATTCATCAATTACCAGTCTATTATTTGATTATGTTATTGTAAGAATAATCATACACTGATTTCAATCTAATAAAAAAATTTAGATTTCTGGCCAAATTTTGCAATTGCAAAAAACTAAATTATGGTAACCTTGCATGCTTGTATCAAATTAAATTTACAATTCTTCACACGGTGTAAAATAATAAGTTTTTACATGATTTTCATTGATCATCGCACGCCAAAATCTACATTGCCCCGTCATATATGGGTATGGAACTTGGCAACACCGCATAAGGGGGTGAAATTCTTTAGGGAAGGGTTTAAGACTTTCGAAGAAACCCATTTACAAGTCAAGGATTATTATACATAAATTTTAACTTAATTTGACCAAAGGGGGGTGGGTTTAGATGGGTCACAAATTGCCTTCTGCCACTATTTTACCCTTAAAAAGAGAAAAAGTCGGGGGAAAAATCGGCCCCTCTCACGATTTCGCGATTTTCAATTCTCCAGTCTAGACACCTTCTTGGACTCTTTCATAGAAAAAAAATCGCGGAAGGTCTGCAAAAAAATTTAATTTTTTTAAACGAACAGTGAGGAGCTTTTAAAAGTTCAGTCCGTACTCTAACTTTTTGAAGGCTGATAGCAAATCATTGATTGAGTTTAGAAAAGGCATTGTTTAGTAATTAGTGTGATATTACAGCTTTAAGAGAATAAACAACTAGTTTCCTTGAAGACAAAGAAGAAATGAGAAAACGTACGGCAACGTTGCAATATTTGGGATATGTTCTTGAAGAGAAGCCATCTAACACTTTCTTATAAGAGAAAGGGAGGATAGAGAGGGGTTCCTAAAATCAGCTGTTCATCAGTTAGAAACAGACGCATTAGAGGTTACCTCACGAGTAATAAAGGATTGAATTTTGGAACACCTGAAAGGCTGTTGATATCCCTGTAGTGGGTAATTACGCAATAAGTTGCTACCTTTCCAAGCTCAATAGGTTCAAAACATGTCGAGAGGTAGCAATTTAGATTTTACAGAGGAAAAGTACCTGGATAAAACATGCATATGAAGCCATACTGCAATTATAAAAAATCCACTAACAGACTTTAGAACTTAGTGAGTACACTCAGTACTTAGGCGGAAGAATAAATGATCACGAAGTGATGCAAAAATGTGCAGATATTTCCCATTTCCATGCTGTATTTAGTGGATTTACTTCCCTCGTGCAGCCTTGGTAGATTTACTTTAGAAGGGGAGCCTGATTTGGCTACAGCCACGACTGGTAAAGAAATTCAAAGTTTCCATAAAGACATGTTTTTACAGAAGATATTGTCCCAGGATGATTAAGCCATTTAAGAAGAGGTTATTCCAGAATCGCCAATTTTTGGCCCCCTTGGATTTGGTCTAAACTTTGCTCAGATGTTCTGGTAACAGACATGAAGACAGAGCGCAGCAAGAAAAAAATTAAGCCACGTCTCCGATTTGCTACAGGGTTGGCGGCGAAATCAGGACTAGTTTGAAATTCAAATTAACGGTGGCAACGGAATAAAATTGCGAACTTAAAAAAAGTATTCTAAGCTGATTTTGCCTCAAATTTACTTACCCATAAATATTTTTTTAACTTCAGCTGATTTTTGGTCCGTCATCGACCAATGAATCTCATTCGGGAGTAGGTAACGATCATAACGGCCTGTTTCAACTGGCAGGACCACCATGAGCAACAGAAAAACTAACTTTATCTGAGATCCTGGCTTGTTACTGGGCCAAAGTTGGTTCATTATAAAAAGTCACCCTCCCAACTTCATTAATCTGTTCGTTTTGGGCTTTTAAAACGAGTTTAGAGCAGGTAATGTGCAAAAATCAAGAGTACAAATTCAAATCAAATTTCTGTTTGCCGCCATGGATTTCCGCGCTTAGTTACACACTCCCAAGTACAGAGCGCCAGGGCAGCCTCACTCCCCCCTCCCCCGTGTTACTAGGCACGAGTGCTCTATCTGTACGTCTTTGGTTGTGGTAGTTGTCCCCGATGCCTGGGAAAATTTTTAGACCCCTCAGATAATTAGGGGGGGAGAGAGGTAAAGTTACCATTTTTGCAGAACTTTAAAACTTGACATCTCTGGAACGGTTTAAGTGTAAGTAATGCTGTTTGCGCTAAAAGACGGCGGGCACTATTGCCTCCAAGAATACCTACATACACTATTATAATTGTTGCATAATTTATATTAATCATAATTCGGTTTTGACGGTTTGACTTTTTACAAACTTCAAACAGACTTTCAGGGCAATCGTTACTATGTGACATAGGTAAACCAATTTGGGTGGCTCTCGATGAAATTTTGCATCTACCACACCTTATTTTACCTTGGGAAGACTATTCGTTCCCGAGTTACAGCAATTTTGGTGCGCGCGATCGAAAGGCAGCAGTTCAAGTAAAGAGAAATTGGGACCTAATACATTAATAGGGCCCTCTTGGAAGATCGTTTCGCAAGGGGTTTTTTAATGGTGACTTCGAGTTTGAATTTTAATTTGAAAAATGTTTCTTGAAAGCTGCCAGACCGTGTAGAAGAGCCGATTTTTAGCAGTTTTGGCACGATTTAGTATCTTATGGGAAAGAAGTTTTCAAAAAAAACCTCAAATTCGGATTCGACGTCCAAAATGACGTGAGCATCATGAAACTAATACCGATCTTCAATAACTGAAGGCGTTGGCTCACAGTCAGTGTGCCTGGAATGGAGATGTTGCATGTGTGAGGGATTTGCGATTTGACCATTGATTCTTATGTAAAAGTTTGCGAGAAACACGATGGTGCCGCTGGTTTCCTCTGAAATCATCTCCCAAGCCCAAAAAAAGCTCTCAAAGTGAGGCCAAAATGGAGGGAATATCCCACCCTACCCTGAGAGTCCACCTCTACATCAAAACAAACTCTCCATGCAAAGATTGGGAGCAACACTAATCTGTGGGGAGCAAATACATTAGCAGGGTTGCCGTGTTTTCAGTTTTGGAGTCCCCAAATGAAGTGGCAGCCCTATGTCAATGTATTTGCTCCCTGTCTTTGCATAGAGAGTTTGTTTTGATGTAGAGGTGGACTCTAAGGGTAGGGTGGGATATTCCCTCCATTTTGGCCTCAACTTGAGAGCTTTTTTTGAGCTTGGGAGTTGATTTCAGAGAAAACCAGTGGCACCATCGTGTTTCTCGCGAACTTTTACATAGGAATTAATGGTCACATCGCAAATTCCTGACACATGCAACATCTCCATTATCACGAACAATTAGAAGATCGGTATTAGTTTTATGATGCCTAATTCATTTAGGACGTCAAATCCGAATTTGAGGTTTATTTTGAAAGCTTCTTTTCCATAAGATACTAAATCGTGCCAAAACTGCTAAAAATCGGCTTTTCTACACGGTCTGGCAGCTTTCAAGAAACATTTTTCAAAATAAAATTCCAACTCGTCACCATTATAAAACCTCTTACGAAACGATCTTCCAAGAGGGC